ATATATATAATCTCATTATAAGACTTAAGATGATAAAGAGCTATAGAGAAACACAAAATATCCTGATCACAGGACCTGCAGTGAGGACAGAGCCCTACCAGTGGTGAGGTAAAAACAAGACATAACCAATCAAAGCTGAACACACAGCCAGACTCCTCGGTTTGAACCGAGGAGGCAAGTCATCCGTCTGCGCCCTCGTCCCCTCTAATAACAGATGTGGAAGCTGTCACCATATACTGCCTTACGTCGTCCTACATTCACCATCCAGACAGAAAAAGCCTAACACCTGCAGACATTCACCAACATTCACCCTTAATTACTCCGCAGTGATATTCAGACACGTTTTAAAACGAACAATCCACTCACACGGGAAGAAGTTGTCATTGATGCAATTGAAATATTCGTGGTGGGTTCCACTCTCAAACCTAAACAGATTTAACCAGCTGGCTGATGGGTAAGAGGACTATTCAACAAGATGGCTGCATGATGAATGACACCTTTATCTTCTTCTCTAGCTCGCTAGTTCAAATATGTTTTTTAAATCAAACTGGCTTTTGCTTGTGTATTTGGTTCGATTTCATCTCTGTTCTTCACTCGTAATATCTGCTGCAGCCACAGTGTTTCAGATGAAAGTGTGTGTGTGGTGCTTGTTTGTTGATTGGTGTGACGGTGCATGCATGTGGGGAATGTACTTGTGTATATCAGCCTGCCACAACTCGGGAGTGCCAGCCGGTGTCTTTATGGATCGTCAGCCCTTTTTCCATCCCTGTGTTTCCATCTCCCTTTGGGACTTGACTCCCTCTTTCTGTCGCTCTCTGTGTGAAATCTGTCCCCTCGCATTTGTTGTGTGAATCCACTATGGATAGCAGCAGTTGTGTCTTCCTCCCTCATTGACTCCAACCCCTCCTTCTTTCTTACTCTCGCTCTCTCTCTTTTTCTGCCTCTGCGTTTGCAACCTCAGCTCCGACTCCCATCATCCCTCCTCCTCTCAGTCTGTCCATCCCGAGGTGAGAGAACCAAAATGGGAAATGGGCTGCTGGACAGCCTGAGGACAGAAGAACAGACATAAGATACAAGTTATATTTGGTGTTTTTTGTGAAATTATGATGAATGGTGTTTTTTTTTAGATTGGCCATCAATCATGCAGATCACAACCGCCTAAGCTGATGTGTTTGTGTCTATATATTGCTTGTTCTGCTTTGTGATAATGATTTCACAATGCCTGACAAAGATTTATGTTCAATGGAAACTATTATCAGTAATGTGTGCAGATCTTTTGTATCTGGTTGCAGTTGTCAGAAGTTTGTTGGTTTAGATAATTGGTTAATTGACCTGTGCCAAAATGGCCGCTATGGTAGATAGGGGCAAAAGTTTGGCCATTAATTATAAGGATGGTAGTATATAGTATGCCATTAACAAATCATAAAAAACATAGTATGGTATAAATATTGCAAATAATTAAGCTGGTCAATGATGATGGAGAATAGCAGCCATACCTGTCCATTATGGTCCTCAAGGCCCGTTCTATGTTCATCCGGTGGCCTACGCGTGTCACACCCAGATCCAGATAGTCGTCCTTCGTTAGGGAGGGCAGATGGGTGCCGTCAATCTCGTTGTCCAGGAAACGCTCTCTGTGCTCACCCAGGTTGAGGTATCCTAGCCAGTCTGCAACGTCATACTTGGTCCAGTAGGGCAGCGGCTTGGAGGCAAAAGGCTTTGTAGGGGAAGGTGGTGGTAGATGGGGGTAACTCAAGCATGTAGGTGGAGGGAGAGGGTGCAGGGGCGGAGAAGAGGTCCCAGACAGGAAGTGAGTTGGAGAGAGGGATCGAGAGACAACTAAAGCTGAGTTCGGAGGAGGTGGGGCACCAGAGGGGGCAAACAGTGGAGGAGAGGGTGAGAAGTAAGGATCGCCAAGAGGATTCCCAGGTGATGGCGGCGTGACTGAACCTCGGAGGTCGTACATTGCACTGTAAAGAGGTGTGGTGGGGAGGAGCGGAAGGGATGATGGTCGTGGTGGACCCAGCTTGGGCCTCTCTGACGGGGAGATGAGGGGGCTGGGTGCTCTCCTACGCTGGAACATGTGTGATTCTGCTTTACGGGACTCGCGACTGGGGATGAACTGGAATTCTAGGGCTTTGGTTCGGTAGACAGGTCTGTGTTTTGGGGAGGTGGGATAAGGGGAATAAGATGTTGGGGAAAGCGGGGAATGCGAACGTGGAGGCTGAGAGGCAGCTGGAGGTTGAGGAGATGGCGGTCTTCCCCAGTTGGGGTACTGGGAGGCAGGGGTGGGGGACGGGGATAACGATGGCTGCGATAATGAAATCGGAGATGGTGACTGGGATCGAGCTGAGGGAGGGCTCAGAGCTGAGGCTGAGTCTTCTGAAAATCTGTGAATGGAGAGAAATTGTTACAAGAGAAAAGCATGATTAAAAAACAGAAAACAATAAGATGAAAAAACAGAAATTATCGGATATGTTAGTCAAACATTGTCCAGCTATTTTTAGAACCACTGGATTAAAATGATTTCATACTGTCAACATCTTGATTGTGTAAAATCAGTTAACATAACATAAACATAGTTTTCTCTCCTTCCTGTCTCACAACATGTTGTAAATTCAAGCAGGTGTAAAAGTTTTATGTTCTTCCTGACAGAAAAAAAGTGTGGAAGTGGCTCTATTACCTGTTTCTGCTTCTGAGAGAAACACATGGAAAAAGCCAGAGAAATAAAAGGAGAGGAGAGTTTACACAGTATAGACAAAACACTTACACAGGACATAAACAGACAGTACACAGATTTTCACAGAAGGCTTGAACATCAACTGTGGAAGGTAAAGAACTCACAGGTGGCACACTGATACACGTGAGACATGAATAGAATGACAATGCTGTGCTCCAACAACAACAACAAAAAATGCAGTTCATGCTGTGACACTGAAAACATAAAAGTTTTCACTGATGTGTACCTGTGTCTGCCCAACGGTCTCTGGCTGCCCCAGCTGTCCTTGGTTCTTTGCTGCAGTTTACTGCTCAGCTCATTGATGATGCTGGGCTTCATACTGGATGCAGGAGGGTAAATCTTTCTCCCCTCTAAAAGTGCCGCGGACTGGTCACCCGCCATCTGCCCCTCGCCCCAGAGGGGCTTCATCTCAGGAGTACGAGGGCGATCAAGGTATGGTGAAATAGGACGTCCCAAATTCTGCATGTCCCTCACCTCATACCCTTCGCGGCTGCTTTCCTCCACTCCCTCCTCGTCCTCTTCCTGCTCGTCCCTTCGTCTGTGGGAGTGAAAGGATGCAGGAGCGGTGCTGGTCTGTCTGTGTAGATCACTGGTGCGACCTCCCTCTCTGAACCTGTTTATTTTTGGGTAGGTGGAGGCTGCTACTGTGGCATTCTGCATTTCAAAAGTTTGTCCATCCAGGTAGCTCATGTAAGACTCCAGAAAATCTCCTCCCCTTTCTGATTCCCCTGTCCCGCCTCCTCCTCCTGGCCGTCCTCTCTCCCCTCGGTCCAGCCTGTCTGCCCGGACACTGGCCAGGATGCTGTCTAGGTGGTGGTCACTGCTGCTGCGGCTGTCCAGCTCTTCAATCCCAGAGTCCACCACCGTCTCCTGGGACTCTCCTTTCTTGGTAGCGAGGTGAGGGCGGTGGTGCTCCCCTGTCCGGCGACTGCCCGTGATAGCAGTGGAGGATGTTGTATGTGTGGTGTGTGTGCGCTCCTGGTAGAGCTGAGTGGAGGTGCTTGTTGTGGTGGCAGCAGCGGTGGTAGTAGCGGCACAGCTAGCGGCCGTGGCATGTGAGAAAGTGCCCCTAAGTGGAGCAGAGGTGGCAGCAGTGGAGGAGGGTATTGGGGGACCACGGTAGCCCAGGGGAGGTGCGACTGTGTGTGGGGGAGGCGTGGGGGAAGAGCGCCCAGGAGTATGTGAGCTGTTGTAAAGATGGTGGGGATGGGACATGGAGAAGGGTCTGTGATAGGATCCAGGAGGAGGTGGTGGTGAGACTGGCGGGGGAGGCGGCGGTCCCGTTATCGAGGTGGGCTGCAGGGTAGAGGGCGAGTGAGGGGGCGGGGGGTTGGGTGACGTTTGGGAGGGGGAGGGAGCAGACTGAGTAAGGTTAGCCACCTCACTGTCGTAAGATGTAAGGCTGGAGGCAGTGGAGTCCCCTGCCTGAGGAGAAGGCAGGGGTGTATGAGCAGGAAACCCACTTACAAATGGTTCTTTTATGGGGGGTGGAGGGGGTGGTGGTGGAGGTGGAGGTGGAGGGGGTGGGACCTGCTGTTGGCGGGAGGTCAGGCTGTTTGGGCGCATCCCGTGTTGTGAGTACCCTGATAATCCCCCAATTCCCCTGTCGAAGCTGTTGGCAAACTGTAATGGAGGTGGGAGAGGGTCTGCGTAGACAAACTCATCGTCTGCATCAATTGAGGGGGCAGGGGGAGGAAGGACCATCAGACCAGTCCCAGTGCTCCCAGTAGTGTTCGCTGTCTGGTGAGTACTGGTAGGTGGAGGTGAGGGAGGGGTGAGGGACAAGATATAGGCATCAGCTTGACTTTCCATCCTGAGAAAAGAGGGTCTCCCCGGCTGCTGAGGGTGGGACCCCTGGTGAGCAGAGCTATCAGCAGCAGCCACATTGGCAGCAGCTTGCTCTGCCCTCCTCATGTAACCCTCTCTCTCTTTGTCCCTCTCTCTTTCTCTCGACAGGTCCCTCTCCCTCGACCTCTCCCGCTCTCTCGACCTCTCCCGCTCCCTCTCCTTGTAGGTTGGTTGATACGGCTGAGGCTGGTATTGGTGCGTGTGGACCGTTTTGTCCTCAGAGAAGCGAACTCTAAGCCCCTCCCGAGCCCCTCCTCCTTCACGCTCTCTCTCTCCTCCACCACCTTCTTCACTCCACACACTCCCGACTCCTCTAAGGATTCTGGGCGAGGATGGGCGGCCAACAGTGGCTGTGGTAGCAGCCAGAGAAGACGAGGTGACCAGGTAAGAGGAGCTGGAGGACTGGGCGGTGGACGACACTGGCTGAGAGTTGACAGTAGATGAAGGAAACACCACACTCGACATCTGGCGGGTGAAGTAGTGTTCTGTTCCCCTCCTTAACCTGCTGTCATCCCTCAGAGCACGCTCTCTAGCAGCCAGGGCGAGGCCTAATGGCGATGTGGGGTCAAGGGCCTTTCCTGTTAGAGGGTGAATGAAGGTGGTTGTACTGGAGGGCGCTGGCTGCCTGCCTGCTGCTGTGTACATGTCAGTAGGCACAGACTTAGGCTGATAGTCCAGGGCAGATGAGGAGTACTCAGGAAGACCAAAGGCAGGAGGCATACTGCGGGTGTGATGGATAAAACTGTCCCCAGAGAACATGCCCTCGTCAATAGACTTAGACGGGCGCAGCCGTGTTGATGAACTTTCAGCCTGTGTGCTAAGCTGTTGATGTGACACTTGAGTTCTTGATATTCCATCACTCACTCCCCCTAGACTCACATCCTCCTCAGCAGACATGAACAAGGAAGCACTCTTTCTGCGAGCTTCATGCAACCGTTCCCTGTCTCGGCGAGCTGCACCAACAATGGCAGCTCCAAACTGGCTGGTAAAGTCCAGATTATCCTGGGCTCGCATAGAAGGCAAGGATGGAGGCGGCGGTGCTGGGCTGGAAGGCGGGGCAGGGGGCTGTGGAGCAGGAGTGGCGGGAGGAGGACCGTGTGGTGTTTTGGCTTCATCTGTCTCTCCTGATGCAGGAGCGTCGGCCTCCACACTGCTGCCCTGGCTGCTGCGTCCACTGCTGCTGGTTGAAGGGGCCTTGACAATAATGGTGGGGATGGGGATGGAGCTTTTCTCCACTGAGCCTTTGCCCCCCAGGGTACCCTGGCTGATGCGTAGGTCCTCTACCTTGGATTGTTTCATCAGGGGTCCCTTACCTCTCCGGGCCCCTGCTTTGGTACCACCTGCTCCAGCCCCAGCTGCACTGCGGTCTGTACGCTGGGGTTGACTTTGGGTAGTCTGTTGTTGCTGGGGCATTACAGTGGCAATGCTGGATGGGGGGATAGCGGTGCTGTAGCCTCTCCTAAGACCTGCTGTCTTGGCCCCTCCTCCAGCCCCTGTGCCAGCTCCAACAGGCTCCCCAGAATAGGCAACTTTTCGCGAAGCAGTCCTGCTTTGAGCAGTGTGGCCAGCTGTGTGTCCATACGAGGTTGGGTGGTCCACCGCTCCACCACTGGGGCCAGTGCTGGAACCACCTGCCCTTTCCCTGCCCCCATGAGTGAAATGCACTGACTGGGAGTAGGGCTGGTAGTGGGCAGATGTGGATGTGGACTGGGACACGGAGACAGGCTGCTGGGATGACTTTGTTCTCCAACCTAGTGGCGGAGCAGAGGAGAATGGAGGCTCTGGTGGAGCTGTGGTGGGAGGAGGAGGGATGTCCTCTGGGCCAGGCACTGACAGACTGCGAGCAAACTTCACGGCTGGAGGATGAAGGTACTGCCTCTCCTCCTCAGTCACCCCTGCAGTACAGCATTTACAAATGGAGAAAAAAAAATTAGGATGAAATTGGGATTGACAGGTCTTACAGATGGTGTAGAGTGAGAGTAAGAGAGGCTGATGAAGAAGAGAAGAAGAAAGGTTTTTCAGCGAATAAGAGTAGAGAGGAAATGGAGCCAGAAAAAGTGAAAGCTGAGGGTAATCTATGAGAGTGTCTGTCTAAATCTGACTGCCCGTCTACCTGCCAGCGAGTCTGTCCTCAATTCCTGTCTGTTAGTAGATAAGTTAGTTAGTGCTATGTATTGTATTTCACAAACAAGTAGCAACTGGACAGCATCACACAGCATTTGTTTTGTTGGTCACCAGAGAGCACATTACTATTTCAGGACTATTATTTCTACTATGACTACTATTTCAAGAGTTAGCAAAGCTTTAGTGAGCAACAAACCAGAAAATAATCAATCAGAATAAAACAGATTAGTGGCACTACTGTAAAAAAACAGATAGTAGTAGGGTGAGTATAAGACAAACAAACATGTTTATTTTAATGTACAGTTATAGTATGTTAAACAGCTGAGTGTAAACATACGATCAGCTACAGATACAAAGTGTGCACATTTTTTGTGAGCGACAAGACATTGTTGGCCACAGACAAACAGGTCAGCACAGTGTGGACCTCTACTGGTCCAGAGGACAGACAGACAGGCCAAAGGAGGGGCAGACAGAAAATACAGACAGCCTCACCGATGGATTTCTGCCGCAGCATACCGTGCTTTGGGCCGTGACCTGAGATGTACTGGCCACGGTCATAGCCGAGGCCCAACCCAGACGACAGCATCCCCATCCCGGACTGATCCCCATAGTTTGGCTGAAAGGCCAAAAAGGAGCATTTGAAAGAAAGTGGAGAGTGCCGGGAGACTCAATCGTGCAGTACATGTGGGGGCCGGATAACAAAAATAATAAAGTAAAGTGACGTAGAGCTGCTGAGTTTGGTGTAAATTTGGGGCTGTGTTTAAAAACCGCAAAAATATATAAAACACATATAGAAAGACTTACACAAAACTTGTGCATTATAAGCCAACACTCATTTATCTAAAGCTAAAACCTTACTAATTAAAACCCTTAAACCAGGTCGCGGAGGTAGTGCGAGTAGATCGCATGCCATTCAAAAACAATTAGATTTCCTCATGTCATTTGCCACTTGATTTTCTAACACACGGGTCACCACGTATGTGCGGTCAACCGCGCGAGCTACTGCAAAACTCCGGCGAGCTAATTAGTTAGCCTTCCAATTTATTTCTACTAAAGAAGCTAAAGCTGCAGCGCCATGATTTGGGAAACTTCCAAAACCTCGCGTCAGAACTGGAGACTCAACGGAAGGCGTGTGCGTAACTTGACAGTGCGCGCTACACAGAGCAGATTGACAAGTGTCTGTCAGAGTTTGACAAACGCTTTCAAGACTTTGCTTTACTCGAGCCAGTTGCTACACTTATGTTCTGCACATTTCGGGAAGATATTGAGGTTGATTTACTCGCATCAAAAATTGCAACCCTGTTTCACTTGAACTCGTCTGGAGTGGAGGATGAGATTTTGACACTACAAGCTGACGTTCAGCTGAAGTCCAGGGCTCATGGACGGTTTTCTCACAGAGGAAAAGTACCCAAACATGAGGAAATGTGATACCTTCTTGACTGTATTATTCGGCTCTACTTATTTATGTGAGTCAGCCTTTTCCCACATGAAGAACATTAAGTCCAAACACCGTTCCACCATGACTGATGATCATTTGGAAGTGTGCTTGAGGCGGGCTACCAGCAGCTACTGTCTGGATTATGCAACTCTGGCCAATCCCATTCAGTGCAAGTCATCAGAGTAAGGTAATGACCAAAAATGTACAGAATTGTATTGTGCCATAAGGGTTCATGCAGTTATGCAAGGTACGCCAACATATATTGTAAATATAAAGTATACTCTGTATATATATAAATAAATAGATATTCAGCATTTTTAATGTAGGTAGATCATTTTGACTTGGTCATTTTAAAAGTAGCTCGCAAGCCGAAAAAGTGTGGGCACCCCTGCCTTAAATGCATAAACAGTACTCACATGGATAAGTAGTGTGCCTGTGCAAGCAAGACTTTTTATGCAAAAGTGTTTTAAATAGTAGGGTTTCAGTTTTTACGACTGGAAAAATGAGACTTGGATTATACTGCACGAGTTATGTGAGGCTTAAGCAAATGTTTTTATATAGTTTTGTGTTTTTTAAACGCAGCCCCCATTTATTTATTCAATTTATCAAGAATTTTCCAATTAATAATTATATAGAAATGGTAATTTTGGGGTGTAGTCCTTTAATGAAGGCTTTAATGAGTCAAGAATAGAAGACTTTTCTTGTTTGCCAATGTGCCTATTTGTTTAAACTGACTTATTCACTGTAGTTGTTCACTTAGCAACATTTTATCACTTTAAATGAAACATAATATATATATATATATATATAT